ACCCCATTGTGCCAACCTCAAGAAGAGGTGAAGATAATCTCAGGCTATAAGTATGTAAGCTCTGAGCATCACTGCTAAATCCTCCTGTCTTTGTTGCTGTCTGCATGTCCCATTTGCCCTACCATTGAAATTTCATGTGGTATGACCTGTTTAGTATGTGGAGTTTCATCATCTCACGTGCACCATCATCATCGTATTTAGACGGCAACTAGGAAATGAAGGTTTTTAACTTTCATTCTTGTGGATCCTCCTCCCGTACGTGATTTCAGTTTGTAGAACACATTAGAGTATCGTGATGAGAAAACAAGTCTAGGACATGTTACAGTGGACATTATATTCTCCAGTAGGACGTCTGTGAGGCTGCACATGCATATGTTTGTGTGAATGGTTGTATTGGATGTTGCTCTGTTGAAGTATGAAAGAATTTTGTATGACTGTGTTCTGCGATTTATTGTACATAATGCAGTAAAATTGATGTTTAGAAATATTATTTGTGCAGAACAATTGCAGTATGCTTCTTGTTAATGTCCTTATGCTGGGTGAGAAAGCTAATCCTGTTCCAGGTTCCTGGTATTTATTATTGGTCCAATTCATTGTTTTCTGTTATGTTCTGTGGTGAGAAGTGCATTGTTTTAATTTATTTAGGTATATTTACCAAGTTTGCAACATAAAGTCTGAAGGAAACAAATGCTGTGTTGGTGGAAGATTAGGATAGAAATTAATTCCTTTTATTAAGGAGTACCTTGTTTCTGACCCCTCCCTTCCTTGTGCCCCTTACATCTGGTGGAGATAGTAACAAGTAAAAAAACCTATAGTGAGTGTGAACCTATTATTTTGTTCTGTCTCTTTGTGCATTTGTAAGTGTGGAATAAGAAAGCAAACAGACTGCTCCACCTTGCTTGCTAGCGTGTTAGCAAGCTTGTCTTTATCATTGTCAGAATGAATGTACAGTTGCTCAACTGTTTGTTTACAGTTGTCCTGAGGTCTGTGGAGAATCCCAAATTCTCATTACCATCTCTGTCCCCTTTTAGCTGATATGTGTGACGCCACACAACCTCGTTGTTACTGTGGCGGTACTATTTATTGCTCATTGAGGAGAGTTCTACATTTTTTAACTTGCATTTCATCACATGGTCTTGATACTGTGGCCTACTGCTCTCTGATGTTAGTCTGTGACAGTCATTTGAAATGTAACTGCCAGATAGGTTGTATACATTAATTGCCCCATGGAATGATGAGATTTTGTGTATTTTGGTGTTTTAACTCATTCGCATCCATCCCCACTTGAGGTAGGCTGCCCTAGAAAACTGCCAACTTCTGACACGGCAGCTTTACACTGCAGTTCTTGTGTATCGTCATAACTTTGTCTTCATAGGACATACAGTAGCTTCCAAGCATAATGAAGTGTAAATGTGAATCTATAATTCTGTCATTGTTCAGAACAAATACACATTGTTCTTCTGGAAACATTTCTTGTCCTAATAATTTTTCAGTGCATGGTACAGCTTGAAATGATCAAGGCAAACTGTTATATCACACATCCCAGTTCCATGCTTATTCTCTTCTTCTCCAGGCATTTACAGTTTTCCTCCTTTCACTGTAACTGATGCATTCTTCACTGGAAAATAGTGGCCATTTAGCTTCTCTTCTCCTCTTCACTGCTCGTCTTCGCCTCAGTATCTTAGCCCCACGGAGTGCATTGTTAGAACTGACATCCATTTCATTTTCTTGCACTTATGTAAGATGCAACGAGCAACCGCTGCTTCTTTTACCCTGTTTCCTTCAGAAAGTGTTTGCAATTCAGGGCAGCTGTTACGCAAATGCCTCATGCTCTGCGGTGTGATCTGCAGAAAATATCAGGCGAACTGTAACGGTTGTCTGCATATGGCTATTGTCCTTTAGTCAGAGGTCACTATGCTTAATCTAGTCAGTAACAGCTTCCGTACTGTCAAATGTGTTTTCTACATTGCATTTGTCACATAAACTTTGAAGGAATGACTATAACAACTTTTGAATCAAAATGTATGTGTTAAAATTTACTCCAGGTCTCCTACATTTCATTAGCAGTGCGCCAGTGATTGTGTCCTGCATGAAGAGTGCATCCTTATCAACAGTGGACCTTCCTTTCTGTAAAATGGATCAGCCTGGTCCAAAGTTTATTGTTGACTAAGTGTAGAATGTACTTATTGCCATAACTCCCTTTCTAGTCATAGTAATGAGTTATGGTTTTCTGATACTAATTATGTATGTGGCCCTAAATTTTCGATAATGGGATTCTAGATCAGAATACACTTTAAGTTCATCAAAGTTTAAATCAACAAAATGTCTATTATCTTTGTCGTTATATGCTGTAGGAAGTCACAGGAAGGAACAGAAAGTCCCTGCCAAGACCTTTATTTGCAATGAAACTGTATTGTATGTCACTAGTACCACTACATCAATGAAATTCTGGATGGATGGTGTTCTGTTCTCGCATACACTCAGCATCACCACCACTGTCAGTGACATTCACGTTGTCATCTGTATTGTAGTCGGCACCCATTGCTTCATGTTTGCTGTTGCCAGCGGTACTGTTAGAATTATGCACGCAATAGTTCTCTGTGAATTGCCGCGTCTTGCTTCGTCATTGCAGTTGCAAAACGTAGTATATACATATTTCTGTTTCTTTCATGTAGCCATGCCAAACAATAGTTTATGTGCCTAAAAGTGCTCAAAATTGTTAGCAATATTCCTTTACTGTGAATTACTGTAAAGTACTTTACTTATCTCTGTGTTGCCTGCAGCCTTAAAATATTACATTGTCACTCACAGATTTCAGAAGCAACCACTTAGTAGCAGTTCTTTGTGTTTTTAAAACTAATACGCTTGCTGGACCATAACCTGGAGAATGAGAGCATGCACACACATTCGTGGATGCGAATGGGTTAAATGAGAGAAAACAGTATCTGTAGATTTGCCTCTCTGGTGCTGGTATTTATTTGTCCCAAACAGAATAACAACTTTTTACTGATAATTTACATCACATTGAACCACAGGCCTAGGAAGAAGTTTCGTTGTGCGTCGTCTGTAAATTTTTGTTTGTGACAGCTGTGTGTATGGAAAGGTAATCTGTCTATTGAAGAATCCTTTTCATAAGTAAAGCAAAACATGTTTGTTGAATATCTACAGCTGAAAAGTAGGTCCATTTATATTGGTTGCTCCAAGTTCTTTGCATTTCATGTTTCAATTTCCTTGACTTCAAGAATACAGACTTCCAACATTAAACATAGTTATGATAAATATTCTGAAGCCTATGAGGGGTATTTTTTTGTTGTCACTGGACATGTGGTTGGGTGTTCTAGCACTTACCTTTTGCAGCATGACATTTTTTAAGTGTTTTATTAAGGCCAAAAGTGCAGTATGTAAAATCTCTTCATTAGAAAGAATGATATGTAAAGTGCAATTTTCATGGCCTATGTTGCTTTGGGTTCCATTTGTATGGAGACCCTAACTGTGGTTGGTTAGAGTTCTGAATGGTGAGTATGTGGCACAGTTGTTACTAGCACAAGCACTCATGCATTTAGTACATAAAATGGTTACTGCAGTTGTCCTCAGTTGTTGGGACAGTTCTGTTCTAATTCAGAGTTGTAAAATGAAAGTTGTCTAAAATAAATGCTACATTAATTAGCGTATTTTTTTAGGCATGGTACACATGAGTGTTGTTACTTGTTAATGAAAAGTAATATTTAATTATGTTAGATAATAGATTTGCATATGAATTCCTTGTTTTCTACATCCTTATTGTACCCTTCCTTGAGGTTCAGTTTTGTGTTTTCTCTTGGTGATTTGTGAAAAAAGCTTTTCTTTGTAGTAGGATTTAAAAAAATTGAACAGGAAAAATATAGGCAGTAACGGATGTTGAGAGTGAACCCAGCTGGGTCTTTGTGTCACATCCAAAGTTGTTTTGTCTTGCGTTGCAGTTTGCTTCTCGTAGCTGAAACTGGACTCGCATGTCATTAATTGTGACATCTGACTTGATGTAAGGAAGATCAGAAATAATGTACTACTTTTATTCATTTCCGCTGTATTTTAATACCACTTCTTCGGAGTATGTGGCGTAATATTTAACAAGAGGAAGAGAAATGTCTTCAGTTATGATACACATTTTCATTTCTGGTTTTAAGATGTGTCATGCAGAATCAGTTTGGAATCAGGATTGATATTTAAGTATTATTTGCAAATGATTCCACTCGAGGAGAAATGCAGAATATAGTTGGATGAATGTTTGTGGTTCCATTTATTTCCTGTGTTTGAAACTCTGGAGTACTGGAGTCAGATGTATTTGTAAATCTGACATAACTTTAATGTTTTAATCGAATGGTTTTCAGCTGCAGTAAGTGTGACTGGTTAATTTCTCATTACTGACTGAAAGGAGAATGCTGAGTGGAGATTGCTAGAATAAATTGTGTTCTGTCATGTAAATAAAATGGTTAATCGTGTATAAGGAGACCAGAGGATCCTATCCTTGGCCTTTGAAGTGACTTGATTGCTGATAGAATAATTATGTCGCAGTTGAGAAGAGTGCTAACATCTTGCATCATTACTAATGCAAGTTAAATTAATACAACATTTAGTTATATTGTTCTTGCTGTGCTAGGGGATAGAAGTGTATTACTGTATATTCAGATTCATAAAAACTGAATTTCAAAAATTTCATTTGGGAATTCAGATTTGTTTTTGGGACTTGTACAAAGACAAATTTACAATTCTCAGTTCTGAGAAGCTACGAGGTGGGTCCGAGAAAATAAACTGCCCTCATTCACGAATAAATTGTTTTATTGGCAGAGGTAGATAAATTTATATTTTTTCGTATACTACAAAATTTTTAAGTAAAGTGTGATGTTAAGTACTACTTATTTTTTTGAAATATATGCAGTAAATGACAACAGTGGTGCACTTCTGAAGATGCCTCTACTCATTCTAAAATATCG